TTGGCTCAAAAGCATGAAGCGTGGCCAGTTTGGTTTAAAGGCGTTGACATGACCAGTTCAATTATGTGGAATATAGCTGGAGCCTATTCGAAAGGAGAGCATTCTATGGCATACATATGGGATGAATTATATTTTAATGTATGCTTTTGAGATAATGTTTGGAGTTCATCTTAGATGGAAAGTGCCTAAGAGTACTAGCGTGATTGGTTGTGATTCCATGAAAGTACTATGCATTGGGCTTGGATGAATCATATCAAATTTTGTTTTGGAATTGCCAAGCCTTATGAGATGATCTTGTTTTGAGCTCTCATTTTGAATCTTCAATGCATGATTATATATTTGAAGGAATTTTGCGTACCCTGGATGATTTACTTTTAGTGTGCAAAGTACATTTGTAAATGAATATTCTCTTAGACTATAGGACTGCCAACACAAGACGTGGGCAAATGGGGTTGTTTCATATAAAGAATGATTTGTTGCTAAGCATGACCAGAAGGTGCACCATTGATGTTGGGCAAACAACTTTCTCATGGATCGTTAATTTTATAGGGATTCAATCATCCTAAATGGGCGACTTATTATTTGGGAATTAGATCTTTAAAGGGTGATTAATCTGATGGTCCGCTTCAAATAAATATGTAGGAAGAAGTTTCCCTCATTATTTGCTTATCAGATTGTGAATTGATTTGGATATCGTGTTTGTTGAAATTTTAATGGTCTAATTTGTTTTGGTGAAGATTGCCATAGGTGTAGATTCATATCATTTAATCCATTTTTAAGACCAGATTTTTAGGAACATGCTCTATTTTTATGGTGGATCAGTTTTTATTTAATTAAGATTTAGAATTCGGTGGACTATTTAATTAGAAATGATTTTTTCTTAACCTCACTTGTACGTTGACTCAAAATCATAATTTTTGGTCCCTTATCATAGAAGTTCATTCAAGTTCCTGTAGGCCATATTAAATGTTATTTTTTTCCCATGTTCACACTTTATCTCATAGCACATTCTTTGTATCTTTTTAGTTCATTTTTATCTTGTTACATATTTGTTTAACGTTTGAGATCGTTTTTCATGTGCCCATTTTGTTGATTATTTCTACGTCATTCTCAAAGGATGGAAAAAGTCTACCAAGCCATCACACATTTCTAAAAACTTGTATGGAGCAGTGAATATTATCTGCAACCATACAATTAGTTTCTTTACATGTCTCTATCATATATTAGAAGTTTTTAAAAAATTTTGTGGAAAGTACAATGAAGTGTTAGCACCATCCGGCCTTTGAGAAAACATATTTACAATTAGTTGGCATTGAGCTAATTTTGATAGTGCTTCTTTATCCCTTAGTGAAAGAGCTATTGGGGCATGCCACTACTTATGCAGAATTGGAGCTCATGTTTAACCATGATAATGATAGAGAACGTGGATATTATAGAAATTTAGATTTCCGTTCCAATGTTGAATGTTTGTCCACCTCCATCACACAACAAGAGCTTGCATCATTAACATCAAATTAACCATCAACCAAGGTAAGCCTCAACAACTTGTCCATGTTGATATTATTTTTATTTCAAATTTCTAAATAATATTTTAATTACCAGAATAACTTTAGTATTTTAATTTGTTGGGGTGGGTTAGTTGGTAGTTACTTGTAATTTAGTTGTCAGATTAACGTTAAATTAATATTCTTCATCATATGGACAGCCTATCATTTCCCATTCAATTTAAAGAGTTAACACAATTCAAATTCAAGAAGTTACACTTCAAGGCATAAATCAAGATCTTCTCCAAATGATACAGCTGACCGCCAATTATTTCGAAACCACCAATAATTCAATTGGAAACATCAAAGGTTATTCAAGGAGTATCAATGCATGATCCAAGCTCTTCCATTTAGTCATTGAAGTTCAAAACCATTGACTTCGTCAAGATTAAACATTTTTTTTATTCCTTTGATTTTTGAATTATGATTTCCTCTTTCATAAACATGAAGTGTGCTTATTTGAAATAAATGAGTGAATAGATGACATTTGAACATTTTTAGACAAATTATTGAATTAAATCGTGATAGCAGATTCCTTTGGTTAGAGGCTTGCTGGCTGCAAGCCACCATAATTCTCTTGTGAGGATTGTGTTTTTTCTTTTAAAATTCTCTTTTTCTCCTCACTAGCCAAGACTATCGAGTCTCATTTTCAATGTAAAATCTAATCTTGTTCTTCTACCATGGCCTCTCACGTTCCTACCATTTATCACCATCCCTTAATTCCAAATTCATTTAAATTTTAATCTCATTTCTTTAATTTATTTAAGCTTAAATCCATCCTCTCTTTCTTTTTTTTCCTTTGGACAATGTGGGAGAAAAACATGGGTGAATAATAGATTAGTTTAGTGAATATTTAAAAAAATAAAAATCTTAGGCTATGTAAAATGAATCTGATTGAATTTGGCCATTTTGAAAATTTTGAATTTTTAGTTGCAATTAAGTTATCATAGAGCTGAACTCAGTGAAAGCCATGGTCACAATTGTTGTAGAGAATCATGTCATAGATCCACCACTTAAAACTTATGTGCCATCTCCAGATATAGCAATATATGCTCCTGTCACTGGTAGAGATCACAGTTTTGATTTTGGAATAATTTGCACCTCATATGGTTGGAATTAATCAAGATTGAGAGCATGAAAGCTGTAGGTGACCATACAATGAATTCACCATTCAATTATCATGTGTTTTTGAGTAAAGATGAGGAAAAATTGACAAATTATCAATAAAAGTTAGCGACATTTGAGTCTCAGTTTATATGGAAATGGTGATCATAAAAATTAAATTGATTGAGTGATGAAATCAATAAAAAATTTCATTATTTTAATTAAATATGTGCGAGTAATTGCTAATTGGACAAAAAGGGGTTTCCAAGATTCGTCTGTTTTCTTAAAAATTTTTGGTTTATATGAGATTTCCGAAATCAGCTATACCATCATGAAATCTATTGAGTAATGAGAAACAAATTCACAACAACAACAACAACAATAATAAGCCTTTATCCTACTAAGTGGGTCCAACAACATGAATCATTTTTCTCCATTGTGTCCTATTGAGTGTCATATTTTCATTTAAGATTAAGATCATTTTTATACAATTTGCCCAAGTCTTTTTAAGTCTACCTCTTCATTTCTGAACATCAGTCAAATCTAAAACATCTACTCTCTTAACTGGATTATCAGATGGTCGACGTTTAATGTGACCAAATTATTTAAAACTTTTCCTCTACTCCTTAAACATCTTTTTAGTTTTTTAAATAATATTAATGAGAAACAAATCCATAAAATCAAAATCCATGTTATTCTGATCAAGGGTGAGGGGAATGCCAAAATTATAAAAGAAAATTACATTGTTATTCCTTTTATGATTGATTCACACCAGATGAGATCCAAATACGCCAAATTGGTGCTGATCATGATTATTATGAGGATTTTGATGAATTTATGAAATAATAAAATTATGTGATTTAGTTGAAAGATTCAAATTATTAAAAAATTTACCAAGGTGTTGACCATGGGTCTCGATCTATAAGATCCGAACCTCATTGGATCAGAATTTACCATAGTATTGACCATTATAGGGGAAGATAATCATGATAGGAGTCCTACAAATAAAAATTCATGTAATTTTAATAAATGGAGATTCAACCAAGTTAGTACGAAGGGTTCAAAAGATCTCCATTATCCCTCTAACCATTTCCCATTATTTTGATTTCACAAAGAGGCTTTTGGCATACTTGATGATTTACAAGTTCAAACGACTTCACATAATTAGCATGTTCTAAAACAATGCTCAACAATTACTTTGTTTTTTTCATCATTTCTAAAACCATGTTGACTGCTTTCATTTTTGTAATTTTTGTTTATCTTCTAAACACACACGTTTTCTAATGCAAAATGTTAGATCCAGTGACAAGGATCTTATGCCTTTGGCATTTTTTTCGTTTCTTTTTTTTTTTTATTGTAAGATGGATATTTTGGATACTCATGTTCAAATTCTATAATGTAATTCTCTTAAAAGCCAGACAATCATCACCCTTGAAATGTATAGTAATAAAATCATCAAATAAATTGATCTAAAATATTTGAATAAGACTAATGGTGATAAGATGGTAATTATGATGTGTTTCATTCTAAAGGTTAACAATCATTGATCCTTCTTTAATTAAGAGTAGATGAAAGGTGGATGCCTTATTCAGATACGTTACTTTGAATATTTTGCTTCTAGTGATTTCTTTTTGAATATTGATTTTGATTTTATCTTTTTTTGTGCTGATCGAAAACTTCTCTTTTTATTTTTGTAAGTTTTGGCATCACTATGACTGCTCTTTGGCATCCCCTATACTCATGTTCAAATTCTATAATGTAATTCTCTTAAAAGCCAGACAATCATCACCCTTGAAATGTATAGTAATAAAATCATCAAATAAATTGATCTAAAATATTTGAATAAGACTAATGGTGATAAGATGGTAATTATGATGTGTTTCATTCTAAAGGTTAACAATCATTGATCCTTCTTTAATTAAGAGTAGATGAAAGGTGGATGCCTTATTCAGATACGTTACTTTGAATATTTTGCTTCTAGTGATTTCTTTTTGAATATTGATTTTGATTTTATCTTTTTTTGTGCTGATCGAAAACTTCTCTTTTTATTTTTGTAAGTTTTGGCATCACTATGACTGCTCTTTGGCATCCCCTTGACTGTTCTTATTGTAGCTGGTGAAAAGTTGTATGCTGTGAATAGATTAATTATTAAGTTGTCTAGTAAATTTTCTTCGATAAGATTAAACTTATTTCTAAAAACACCTGAAGTTTTATTTCAACCAAAAAAAAGTAGAAACTTATTTCAATAATTGACATTTCTTTGAGACTTAAGAATGACAAATTATTTTTCTTATAAATTTTAACTTAATGAATGCTAACTTTGTTTTTGTTTAATCTGGAAAACATAAGCAGAGTTTGTCAACAACAAACAGAAGAACCTTTAGTAGAGCTTGGGTGCGGATGCCGAGGAGAACTTTCAAAAGCACACAAATCCTGCATCATGAAATGGTTTCACACTAGAGGGTCAAATAAATGCGAGATATGTCAGTAAGTTTTTCTCTCATTTTGTTTTATTTATTTATTATTTATTATTATTATTTTCTTGTGTTTTTACTCTCATGCTGTATATTTTTTTTTCAGGAAACTGGCTGTAAACGTTCCTTTTCCAGATTCCCAATCAAATGTAAGTATGAACAAATTAAATGTTTGTGCCCATTTTTCTTTCACTTTGGGAACCAGGCGTACGTTCATTTTTACCGATTGACACATGACGAATGGAGAATTGTTGAATGTTTTTTACTCCAAAATTTATGTATAGTTTATGCAATCTTAGGAGTGCTAATTCAAAAATATGCAAAACTAGGGATTGAAAAATAACTTCAAAATTAATTTTAGTAGGATATAGCATAGATCTTGCTTCGTACAACCGAAAACTCACATCAATTAATGAGGTGACAGAAAGATCCCATGAATTTGTGAGGTGGCAAGATAGGTGGAGGTGGAGAGGATGCTTTGATCCCATAGGTTGGAATCAAAAGGCATTTTGACACTTGCTTCTCTAGCCAATAAATTTGTGTTATTCCAAATTTGCTTGATAGTTTTTGGAAGGTTTCTCCTAATTATTTGGTGAGAATGTTCTCAAGTTGTTCACTTGCAGTTATAAATGGAGTACATATTAAACTACTACCCAGCTTCTTATTTATAAAATGTCTATTAATTTTAATATGCTTAATATTGTCAGACATGATATTTGATGGTTGACATATTATCAAAAAAGAATCTCATAAAAATTATTTATTCTACCTTTAAATCTTACAGGATAATATTTAGCTTTAGCAAATCGCAGACTTGCATATTCCTGGTGCAATGGATTGAAGTTTGTCTTCTAAGCTTGATATCGGTATCTTATTTTAGTTTTTTTACTTTTTTAATTTATAGGGTTCCCTCTTAAAAATCTATAATGTTTTAAAAGTTGATCTCTTTTCAACATAGACCCTCAATAATTGTATGCTACAAGAGATAGAGTCTTTTCTTTTTGTTTAATAGGATTCTTTTTGCATGGGCTTCCATTCGCTTATTGAATACTATATTACACCAAAAGATGTGATTTTTGAGTATTATATATAAGCTAAAACATATCTCTTTTTGTTAGAAAATGCTGGATCTTGGATATAATAAATAAGCAAGTCTTCATATTACTCTTTGATAGGAGATTTTTTCTCCTGAAATATCTTATGAAGCATCTTTGAGTTTATAATTTTACATCCAAAAATAGATCTTTAAAGTAATAGGAAAGCCCAAGCGCTAAATGGGTCTTCTTGGGCATAATGGAGAAGACGGCTACTAGAGAACGCCTTCTCAAAAAAAATTGATGAAGTAGAGCCTCCTGGGAATTTCAAGATCTCTTCTTTAGATTCCTATAAAGGAAGAAAGGATCCTGCCAATCACTTGGCATCCTTTGAATCAGCAATATGTTTGTTGCAAATAAATGATGCTGCCCTTAAATGTTGTTTGTTTTTTATGACATTCAAAGATTTAGCTCTGCAATGGTTAAACGACTGGCCGGTTAGAGTCATTACATCTTTCGACGAGTTCAAGTGAATGTCCGTGACTCAATTAGCCAGCACTCAAAAGCCATAAAAAATTCTCAAGATTTATTGAAGATCCGACAAGCTTCATCCAAAAGTCTTAAGGAATTTTATCACGAGATTCTAGTGGGAGATGCTCGATGTTAGAGATTTTTAGCCTTTCGTCGCTTATGCAGTTCTCATGCAGGGTCTACGTGAACGCCCATCTTGATATGCACTTGGCAAAAATATTGGCATATTTCGACTGAAGAATGCAAATCTTTGTCAAATCCCTCTGGAAGTGGAGAGGCAGAAGGTAGATTTTGAAAAAGAGCCTTTCCTAAACACTGGGGTCTCGAAATTGATTCGTACGAAGGGATCATTGAATTGCCTAGGGAAGACATTCTTGGCAGCAGTAACAACCAGAGCAGCCCGACCGAAAGCTTGTCATAAGGAGATCGAAGAGGAGACAGGATATACCTCTGCCCGTTACACTAGAAATTACTCTGTTGAGAATGTCGATGTACGAAACTATAGAGGCCATTCAAAATAAATAATACTTTAAGAGACCATGAAAGCCAGGAGTGTTCAGTGCAACCCCAATAAGTACTGCGATTATCATTGTGATAATAGGCATGACACTGAAGAATGTTGTCATCTTTGAAACTTGATCGAAGAGTTAATCCGAGTGAGAAAGTTAAAAAGAGTTCGTTGCGTCAAAAGCCAACACTCAAAGGCAAGAAAAAATACCTGCCAAATCTGCTTCCAATGGACTAGTCCTTGCCGCAGACATGCATATCGCCGGAGTTGTACCCGTAATTTTCGGTCGGGATGGGCCTGAAGCATCGTGATACTCAAGCTTGAACTAGTTGAAAGTAGGAGATATTCATTCCACCATTTTGGCTAAAGCCTTCATCTGACTTATCCATCGATCACCTTTATGGGAGTTAGCTTACCGGACTACTGGAATCATTTTAACGATGCTATCCTTGTAACCACGGTGATAGGCAATAACCAAATTGGAAGCATCTTGATTAATACAAAGAGTTTTGTTAAAATCCTCTTTTAAAAATTTCTCAAGAAGATGAATATATTGAATGCTTAATTAACCCCTACTTCTGGACCTCTGTGAGGATTCTCTGGCAAGAGAAAAAAACTTGCGGAGTCATCTCATTGCTGGTAACTTTGGGAGTAGGGTATAAACAATATACAACGATGACAAATTTTATAGTAGAGGATGCCTCAACTATCTACAATGCCATCTTTGGCAGACCAGTGCTCAACGTGTTTAAAGCAATGACTTCTACCTATCATTTAGCAATCAATTCCTTAAGAGAGGAGAAATCATCACTGTTCAAGGAAATCTAATCCAATCTAGAACATGTTGCCTGTGAGCTGTAGGAAATGTATGAGAGAATCTCCTCGAACTAGACACAAATAAAGGAATCAATTTGGAGACTACTAAGACCACCGAGTAAGTTCTAACCTGAGAGAAGAACATAGAGGATAACTGATCTCAAGGGGGGAATGCGAGAGAACATTCTTGACCGGTTCTAACCTGACTCAAGAATATAGAGAAAAACTGATCTCAACTCTGAGGGATCATTGTGACATTCACGTTGACTGTGGATGAAATGTCGGGAGTTGATATCAATATATCTTGTCATCGGCTCAAAGTCAATCCCAGTGCCAAACCCATCAAAGAAGAAAAGCAAACTATAGCTACTACCTTGGATAAACCTATTCGGCAGGAACTTTGGAAACTCGTGGATGTTAGCTTCATCTATGAAGCCAATATCCAATATGGTTGGCAAATGTGGTGATGGTCCATGAAATAAATAATAGCGGAGGATATGTATGGAATTTACCAAACTGAACATAATTTACGTAAAGGATAGCCATCCCTTGTCGCGAATAGCCGCATAGGTAGACTTAACTGTCGGTGACTCAGTCAAGAGTTTTTTGTATGCCTTCATGGGAAACCACCAAATCAAAATGCATTTTGTGAATGCTGAGAAAATTTCATTTAAATTTCTTTTATAAATAGAGAGGGTTTTTTTTTTTTTTTTTTTTTTTACAATGTAATGTTTTTTATGTTGAAAAATGCTAGGGCTACTTAGCACCGACTTGTGGACATTGTATTTGAAAATCAGAAAAGAAAGAATGTCGAAGTGTATATCGATGATCTTCTCGTTAAAAGGGAACACTTAAAAAAACACATAAAAGACCTAAAAGAAACCTTCAATACTCTGAGGCGGTTCAACCTTAAGCTCAACATCCTCATAACTACTTTTGGAGTACAGGAAAATTCTTTCGGTACTTACACCTGAAGGGACAAAAATAAATTCTAAAAAAGTTCAATCTATCTTAGATTTGTCTCCACCGAAGAACCTCAAAGAGCTACAAATTATGACTAGTCACGTCGCAGGCCTAAACATGTTTCTTTTAAAGTTTGGTGATCGATAACTACTTTTGGAGTACAGGAAAATTCTTTCGGTACTTACACCTGAAGGGACAAAAATAAATTCTAAAAAAGTTCAATCTATCTTGGATTTGTCTCCATCGAAGAATCTCAAAGAGCTACAAATTATGACTAGTCACGTCGCAGGCCTAAACATATTTCTTTCAAAGTTTGGTGATCGATATTCATCCTTCTTAAAGAACATGAAGAATTCTACTCATTTTGTCTAGATGGAAGAATGCAATCTGACATTCAAGCAATTAAAGACATTATCATTTTCACATCCTTTATGACAGAGTCTCAAACCAGGGGAAAAACTATTTGTTTACTTGGCAGTTAGGAATGATGCAACCAGCTTTGTCCTAATTCTCAAAGAAAATAAAAAATGATTTATTATCTATTACGTAAGTAAAGTTTGCATGGAGTTGAGTTAATGTACATAATCATGGAAAACTTACATTGGCTCATCATTTCAGTAAGGATATTGTGTTCTTTCAATCTCACGTCATAAACGTAATCATTGATCACATATTCAAATCGATGTTATCATGACCTGATCAATTGGGAAGATTATTGAAATGGCAAGTCGAACTAAAAAAATTCGATATTTTGTTTGTACCCAAAACAAATATCAAAGACCAAGTAGTTGTTGTCTTCTTAATAGATCTCTTAGAAGGCCCGATTCATGATGAAACCAACCACACATACACTTTGCATAGATTGAGCTTTAGGAACCCTGAGGAAGGGAGTAAGTATGGTCTTTCAGAGCCCTCAAGGACGCATCTCCTGCCATTCTATTCAGCTCAACTTCAGTGCCACTAACAATTAAGTTGAATATGAGACACTGATTGCCAGGTTGAGATTTTCATCAACAATATCAGTGTGACATCTCTCCTTTAAGTCAGACTCTAAGCTGTCAGTAAATCAAGTAAATGAAGTTTTTGAAGTGTGAGACGATGTCTTACTAAAATATCTTGTGAAGGACAAAATTGAAATTAGAAAATTCAAATACTTCTGGATTGAATCACATCTCCAGAGAAGAGAACCAATTGGCTAACCTCCTTTCAAAAGGACAACATTTAGGACAAAGATGTATGACATTGGAGCAATCTGCCTCCGAAGAACTTGAAGTTCCAGTTTCATATCTTCTTTGTA